TGGACATTTTGGTACTAGATTTTTTTTTTGTAAAGATGTATATCATTATTGGAATTCTTTAAATTTAAAGGTTCAATGAAAAGTGGTACCAGAACTTGACATGAATATACCACATTTTTTCTGTGGTCTTTTCTCTAAATATGATATTCCTCCTTCCCACTGTAGAGACGGAAAAACACTTTTTATTCCCTAATCATATTACCCATTTAATGACATATAATTACTAAATTATTTAGGCTTCATCCAAAGAACAGTCTTGAGGATCTTCTCTTTAATACTTAGAGTGGTGGGTGTGAAATGCTTAAAATAGATTCCTTGAGACTGTTAGGGAACAGAAGTTCTTTATCCTTTCCTTCTCTGTGGTGGCACTGGCAGGAAATTTAATAAGCTACACTGAGGCAGAGATGTTTGGAAAATCATCAAAAGACATTTGATGGAATGCACAACAGGGAATCTTTAATATGGTTGAAAGAGGAAGAAAAAATAGGATTAAACTGAATACTTTTCTGTTTCACAGCTCTTCTCCATGAGGATTTCAAAGTCAATAAGTAGTCTCATCATCTATACATATATCACCACAGAAAAGCAAGAATGTTTATTTTATCTTCTGCGTTTAGAAGAGATGTGTTATTTCTTAGTGAGTCTTTTTGCAATTTCAAATTATGATTACATAGTGATCTGTGTTTATTATTAAAAACCCTGAGAGAATACAGGATTTTTTTTAATGGTTATTCCTAGGCTACTCATTAAAGGAAATGACTCCTCTGCTTCTATCACCAAGGTGGATCTGGAGATCCAGTTTGGCACATGAGTGAGATACAACAATTTCATCGGCATCACCATTTCTCAGCAAATGGTGAAAAAAACACTCTCCTTTGGGCAACATGCAGAATAGGAGAAACAGGAGACAGCATACTAAGGACTTGCCCTCTATGCAACTTTCAAAGGAGAATCTAGAGGGGAATTATTGATAAATGTGAACAAGATAATGCATGTTGCAGTTCAACTACATTCTTCTGAACCTAATGACTTTTAAAACTACTTAGATTTATCAACTCTTATCAGTCTTAGATAATTACCTATAATGTGAGACAACATTTTTTTAAAGCATCTTAGTTATTTAAAATCATTGCTACTTTGGGGACATAAAGTTAAATAACCTGTAAATTTAATTTGAAAATCATACTATGAATGGAAGGATATGTCATAATTTAAATTCACAACTTGTTTCAGCAAACTTCCTGATTCATTAACAACAGGGTGTTGGCAACAGGAAAGAATGAAGTCTTTCTCTTCCTCAAGTAATTGGAAACACTATTCATTTTTTAGACTACTCATTTATTAGTAGTTTGTCTCACAGATATTATTTGATATCTTTTTCTAGTTAACCCTGTTCAGTAACCTTTCGACTCAAGTGAAATGTCCTATTGTTAAATCTAGTCAGTAACTGGCAATTTCTGGCTAACAGCAACCCCCTTTTTTCCTTTTTTATGTGGGTGGCCAAGAATTTAGATAGGTACAGATGGGAGCCAATACCGAATGTGGGCAACAGTCTAGTTTATAATTGCTGCCTGGTTTCTTGGCTAAACACTTTGGGCATGACACAGAAATTTTTATGTCTCTGACATGTTCTCCAAAACAGCTCTGCTTTATTGTCTTGTGTATAGGGGATAGGAGTAGGATAGACAAGAAGAAAATAAGAGACCACACACATTGCTGAAGTACACTTACTTCAAACTTTAGCAATTTCAAAACCACCTCTCATTGGATAATGTTCATGTTGGGAGTTAGCAAAGCTTACTGTAAAGTCATCAAGACCTTGCATTTGCTGCTATTTTTCTTATACTTTGGCCTAAGTTCATATTCTAGGTAGAAATAACTAAAAATTAAAAATTCTTTACCTCTAAATATAAATGAAAGTTTAAAACTTATTTACTGGTGGCACTAAACTGGTCATTCAGTACATGCTTACTTAGTACTTGCTATATGTACCAGACACCTGCCAAACATTAAACTTAAAAACGCATCTCATTCCAACTTACTCCTCATACACACTCCTTCCCAAGCCCCATCTTCATCTTCCTTTAGATCCCTCCCCCAAGTTTCTGCAAAGGTTTAATCTGTAAATCTATCTATCCACGTTATAGATATCTAATGATAGATGTATCAACATCATGCACCTTGAAGGGAAATTCCAAAGTGGTGTATTATGAGAAAAAGGATTAAACACACAGACACACACACCAGAGAAAGTGATTTTTCAGGTACTAAAATGTATAAATACATATAGAGATAGGCAATTGCCTTCTAAGCAGACTTGAAACTGCTCCATGGTCATGAGCTTTCTCCTCATCCCCACATGATCTGCCAAGAGAGATTGTTTCTAGTGGCTCTGAGGAAGTGGGAGGCTCTTTTACAAAATGCTTGGGGCCTCAAAACTTAAATTTAAATCACTCTATAAATGAATTCCATTTTACAGAGCACTATTTGTAAATAATATTTGGGAATATAGCTATTAGAGTGCTACTTCTCTAAGAGCCAGCCTCTGGATGGTTGTGGGCTTAACCGCTGAAGACAGGTAGTCACCTACTCTAGAGATTTCTTGAGGCAAATGTACAACATCCTTTGGTATGATGTCTCAATATTTAATCATTCATAAATCAAGATGTTATTCTTAGGTATTACCAAATGCTCTTGTTGCAATTAAAACTCACTTCCTCTCCCTTAACCTTCTTTCTACCTTTAGGTAGAAAATAACTGATCATCCTTCCTACCATAAATCTGGTACAATTAAAGACTCTTCATTGCCCTTTATCTTTTGCAGGCTAAGCAAACCTATGGGGTCCAAATGTTTTGGTGGCATCTTATTTTGGTATTAACACTGATTGATAAATACTCTACTTAGTGCTGCTATAATTTCTCTACCTCACACAAAGGATGCAGAGATTCTGATTAAGATCCTGTCTCCAAATGCCATTATTAAAATGTAGATATCTGGGTTTTAGATACTCTTTGGTTTTATTTGGGGAAATTAGTTTTACAGCTGAGAGGTCAATCTTTTTGGATTTCACATAATAAATATATCACCAACGATTGTTGCTCTCTAGCATGAAAGCAAATTAATCACTGGCTTTTTCTGTTACTTGTCTAATAACATTTCCATACGAATATATGAGACTGGAAAGCTTTAAGTTCGTTTACAGGTGAATCATTAAAAAATTCTCACTTTACCTTGGTTGATTAGGATTGCCCAAAGCGTCAAACTCTTCTGGAATTACTTGGTTTATTGCAGGCCTCTAAGAGAGCGCTGACAATTCATCTGTCCTGACGTGGTCTGAGTCATGAAGTCTGAGATACACCCATTGAGTCTTACAGGTGTTGGCAATACCAGGTGTGATTTAGCGGGCGCTGGGCTGGCCCTTTCGCAGTTCCCACGCTACTGCCAACGTTCTATTTTTCAACATCCTCTTACCTTGTGGATAGTAAAGGTAAGCGTTTTGAGGGGTAACGAGCCGTTGCCACTTTGATTATTAAAGTAAATGCCTATCACAGCAGAACTCTCTGCAGGAAAAGGGACTGGCCTTGGTGGTTCTGGCGGCAGAGCCTTCAACAGCACTTGTTTCCACGCCCTAAATCCCTCCTTCTGTTGGTGGGCCCCACACTTCCCACTGCTTACTCCTTAACGCACCTTCACCCTCCCCAGACCAGATGTAGTGTAGAAGCTTGTATCTACTGAGAAGAGCTCTCTCAGGTAGTAGCGCTGGAGCGTTCTGGCTCTATCTGCTGTTTAGGTATCTATCTTCAATCCCTGGTAAACCGAAACATTTTTATGGACCGCAAAAATAACCACTCGTGCTTCAGATTCTCTCCCTTGCTGAAGTAACCGTACAAGGCTGGGAGTTTTAATGGTGAAACACCCCTTGACCCGCCGCAGCAGCGGCGGCTTCTACGTGCGGATCTCAGTGTCCTGCTCAGCGCCCACCTCCACGGAGCTCCCCCGGGCCACAGACACTCCGCCCCCTGCCACCTACACGCATCTCATTGGCCAGGCCCTGCATCCGACTCGGCTTCTGACTGGCGGTTGTTCCTGCCTGTCTGCGCGGCGGGGACATTTCCGCATTGAGGGGGGCTGCTCCAAATGGAGGGGGAGGGGAGGTGTTTGGGAGAAAGTGGGGGCTTGGGGTGTCAGAAGCCGGCAGCCAGGTGGGCACAGGGGGTCAGCAGCTGGGCTGCGATCGTTGGCGAGGAGTTCAAGTTGTGCATTTGTGAGGGAAGAGGGGGAGAGAGAAAGGTGTCTCAGAGGTGACATTCTCTCAGCCTGCGAGCCTTCTTCCCGGGGCGCCATAAACGCCCCCAATTTCCCAGCTGATAAAGGAAGAGGAGGAAGGTGGGTCTCGGTGGCGGTTTGCAGAGAGACGGGGACGGGCTTCGCAAGACCCCTTGGGCGGGTGTGTTTCCCTCTAGGAGATGTGTATACAGAGCTCCTCTGCCCCACCCGCTGTGTGGCCCCGGAGGCCGAATTTCGGGTTCGGGGCACTCCTGCATTCCAGTCCCTCGGGCTCGCGGCTGCCTGCGGGTTCTCGCCTCGCGGAAGGCCCCTTAGTGTTTGCTGCGGGATGGGGATGATATGACCTTCGGCCCCTCCCGAGAAAAAGCCACGACTGGGTTTCGCCTCGCTGCTGGAAGGGGGCGAGCTGGAGGCCCCGGCCCGCCCGCGGGCGCGCGGAATTCTTACAGACTTCTAGTCCCAGGGTGTTTATGGGCTGGTAAAAACGGTTGCGTTGCCCCTCTTTGCCGGCCTCACCAGCTTCCTCGACCCTGCTGGGGCGCGGGCCTCTGTTGACCGAGGTTTCCCGGGGAACCGGCCGGAGGCTGGAAGGCAGCGAGGGGGAGGGGGAGGGGGAGGGAGGGGTGCGGCAGGCCAGTGTCTGCTGCCGTCCAGCCCGGGAGGGCGTGGGGACGCGGGGGGCGGTGAAATAGCCGTTGTAGATCCTCCTCTTTCATTGATGAAATTTAAGTTCGTGTGATTTTACCTTTTCTGGGAGTCTCCAGCTGGCCCTGGTTTGTGTCAGGAGCGCAGCGTAGACAGGAGTTCGAGGCAGACTCAGTCGCACTAAGTTTCTTCTGTCTTTTTGGAAGTGGGGGAGGTTTTCCTGGGGTGGTTTTTTTTTTTTTTTTTGAGGCAGTTTTAATAGCTTTTAATACTCTCTTAAGTGGCTAAACAGAGGAAGGGGAGAAAGAACACGTCGGTTGTTAAAACAGGGGAGGAAGAGAAACGTGCCCTATAGCGTGACTCCTAGATATTAATATATATACATCAGTATTTTAATAAATCCCTAAAATGTCGAGATATGTACAAGGTAAGACACCCTTCTTTTTGTCTCTCCGGTTGCTTCAGCCGAATTGGGGTTCTGGCAGTCGGGAGGTTGGTGGGTGGTTTGGAAGTGGAAATGTTCATTTGAGATGCTATTTGCGAAACCCTTTTCCTTAAATTGACATTTGAGCTGCTTTGAGCTGCTAGGTTGGCATTTCGGATACATATAATTTATACCTCTGTGCTCTGCTGAGTTTAGTTCTGCCTCCTTGAAATCAGGTTAGTAGCACTCTGGCTTGCCAGGTTAGTGGCTGTTAACTGATGATAAAACAGGATTTTGGCTCCTGATTAACCCCCATTGTCTTTTCCTGGTGGAAGTCAAGGTAAAGATGTGTGCGCCCAAGGGCGGGGGAACCGTGAGGGCCGAGGTAACGTAGGAGGGTTTTTCCAGGACTGTTGGGGAAGCTTTAGTGTTCTGTGCTTCTGCTCGGTTTTGTGTGTTACGTGGTTTGAGTCTCAGATTCAGTTATTGCGAAACCGGGAGTAGCTCGTAGAAGCTGGAGGTCATTTCAGCAAGAGAAATGACTTTGCTGCATTGCTGTTTATTTTTTTTCATTCTTTGAAATTTGGAAAGATTATTAAGATTTCTTTGAAATTTGAGAATTGCCGTTTAAATTCTACATGTGTTTTTTTAAAGGGGTTAGCGAATGCCTCTGAATTAAGTGTTAACATTGCTTGTATGTTGGAGAGTGTGTGTGTAGGTTGTACACATTGAAATTGGTGCTCCCTTAAACCTGTCACTAGTTTTTAGCATAGGATTTGCACTCTGGTATGCAGGTAAATCCTTTTCTTGCATATCCCAGAGTTTAAAAGCTTCAGCTATCTTGCTGAACACAGAGGTAGTGAAAGTTCACTACCACTTAATGTGACTCTGAGGATGAACTTTAAAAAACAAATTGTCACTTAGGGCCATTATTTGACCCTGGGAATAAAAATGCCTTAGTAAGTTTTATATCATTTTATTAACTTTTCTTTGAGTTTTGTATAATAAATTAAGAGTATTTGCCTGCCTTATTTATGGAAACAAATGAGGCAGTTATGCTTACCTTTAGCACTAAGCTCAGAAATGTCACTTGTCATTTAGACTTTCAAATTCTTGTTCTACCTTATATATGATGAGAGAGGCTGTTTATGTTCAGATTGAATAAATGTCTTAGTCAAGAATGGAAAAACAGAGGTAACTTTGCTGGGTTTGTAACAGCAATAGCAAAATTACCAGAAAGCTGCTTTTTGCAAGAGTATGCTAGGAAAAAGTGGACAAGTCTTTTTTTCTTTAAAAGTTAAAAATATTGTACTTCAGGTATTACTTATAGTTATGCTTTAAAGTAACTTGTGGAGGTGATGTGTATTGACCGATTTCGCAGCCTTTGCTGTTAATGGCTAACGTCTTCAGGTGATCCAGAATCATGTGGCAATACCTAAGAGTTGCTGTGCATATTCCTTTCCCTTGTCATCTGCTTTTTATCATGGAATACTTTTAGATTTATGGAAAAGTAACACATTTCTCAAAACTAAGGAATTACCATTAGTACATTACTGTTAAATAAACTGAAGAGCCAGGCTACTGTTCCATGTTCAACCCAACATTGCATTTAGTTGCCATCCACTTTTGGTTTAAATGGCAGTTTTCCTTTTAAATTAGCAGTTTTGCTCAAAAAGATGATACCTCTCCCCCCAACAAATTTAACATGATTGTGTTCCCTTCATTATTGTTTAAATTTTGTACTTTATACACCCTCTATATGTTTAATTAACACTGCTGCTGTTACAAATGATAAACCTAGTTGGCTATTAACTTAGCTGTCTCCACAGATATGTTTTAAAATGTAAGGGTTGGGATTTTTGTCTTTGAATTTTTTTGTACCAGGTTAAATTGATCTTTCCTGTATCACTTTCTGATAGTTCCACTCATTGACACTTAGCTCGTGCCATAGGCGAAAGATTGAACAATTAGGCCCCTGATTGTTTTCACCTGTTGTCTCATTTAAACTTCACAAGAGCCCCTAAGAGGTAGCTTTTAATTATGACCTTACAGTTGAGGAAATTTAAGTATGCTGTCCAAAGTTCACAGCTAGTAAGCTTTCAAATTCCTATTTAAATGTTTCTAAAACCCTTGTCATTTCCAGTACCTTTTGTTGCCTCTTTTATTAAAAACCTATATAAATGGCTTGTTTCTCTGACTAGACTGTCAGTTCCCTGTGGGCAAAGATAATATTATATCCCTGCGGGAAATAGTGCCTTGAAGTGAAGGATGCTCTAGGAGAATTTGTCATGGATGACAAATGAGAAACTTAGCATTTTCCATTTACTTTTTAGTAGGATAGCCTACATTTTTTTTATTTTCAGTTATAGGTTTTTTTTTTTTTTTAAATAACATCACTTAGATTACATAAATGTTATGAAAGAAAGATTTACATTTGGGTTTGAATTCTGACAGGTGATCTTAAGTACATAACTTTTCTGAATCTCAGTTTCTACTTATATAAACATTGGGTATCAGTACTTTGCCACAGGGTTATTGAGAAGCTGAAATGAGATGAATTAATTGAGTGTCCTAGACATAAAATAATAGATGGCCAGTGAGTTTTCCTTTTCTTTCTTGAAGTGGTGGTGGCCATTCAGATAGCGTTGCCACCATAAACATAACCATATGACATCAACAGAAATAAATAGAAACAAAACAGGTATGACTGTTCTTTATTTTCCTATTCTAAGTTTGGTGTTTAGGTCCCCAGGACTTGGGAGTTGACATATTTAAAAAAAAAAAAAAAAAAGTGCAAGAGTGGGAGAGAGGAAGCTTAAATTGTGATACTAATAGATAATTGGTGACAGTTTTTGTTTCAGTGGAGTCAGTAAAAATATTTTGAGCATTTACATGTGTATTCCTTATAGCAGGCACTTGAAATTCAGAACATCGAGGTATTATACCTTTGTGCTGTTTACATGTGTTTTTGAATGCCTCGCAGGATTTGGGGTTGCTACACTTGGCTTGAATTTCTTCTCCCAAGTGTAGGCAGTGTGCTTTGTAGGAAGGCTGGGCATCTCCGATCTCAAGCACTTTGACCAATATGTCATTAGGTAGAAATGTTCAGTTAATGAAAATGCTTAGTGTTTATAGGCAAGAGCATTTTCAGTATACATTCCTTGGCCGAAAAAAGCTTCACCTTTCTTTGTCCATCTCTCAAGTCAGTGTTCCTCAGGCACTTAAGTATCTTTCTTATAGGAAGACTCTTCTTTCCTAAAGAGAAGACCTAATTCCCTAGCTGTTCTGCTCTCAGGTCATCTTCTGCCTGCTTGTGAAATTACTTCCCACTTGCTAGTTTTCTCCACTCCAGGGATTATTGCAGGGCCCCCAATTACTCTAAATGTGAGTACTAGCGGAGTTTAGAAGGGAATCCGTGTAACAGTTGGAGGTGCTAGGGGTCCTCAGCAGCTGTGACTTTTTGTCAGGTTTGTTAGTGGGTGTCATTTGGGAATTTGCTTTTTTAGAAGTTGTGAGAGCTATCAGATAATCTCTCTATGTGATTTGAAGTTTATAAATGGTGCAGGAACTACAGTTATCTAGCCTGCTAAAGCCATGTTATGTGCTTATACTGTAATATTAGAGGACTTTTTTGAAATGTTTTTAATAGGCCATTATCTATCTAAATTATATAAAAATGTCCTTTAATATTCTTAATTTGAGGTACTTTCTTATATTTCGGGGGAAGCCATTTGAGTATCTCTGCGTCACTTAAACATTTGAGGCCTATCGACTTTCCCATTTGTTGGAATTCTCTCTTTATGACTTTATTTTTATGATTCCCGCTTGGTAGATGGCCGCTAGCCAGGGAGGATTAGCTGAGCTAATTTTAACTGGAGGGGTCTCAGATGAATATATGGATGAGATGCATTCTGGGATCTGGTTGTGGAGGTTGGGCCTTGGCTGTTTCTTCTCAAATCCTGAAACTAAATTTAGCTTATTGCTGATTATTTAGATGACTAGGATGTTTTTAGACCAAGGGAATTGTGACATGGAATCTACTAAGGCAGTAGTAGAGGGGACAAAGCAATGACTGAGACCCACTCCTCATTTTTTTAAAGATAAGTCTTAGGATTCATTATGTTGCTACAGAGAGGGGGACTTAGTTAAATTCAGAATCACAGTTATAAATGGAAAATTAAAAGAAACTCAGAATAAAGAGTTGAGCTGATGAAAACTTTGTTTTTCTACCATGAACTTTGTAATCTCTATGGTTAAATTGCTTTTGTTCTTGATAACTGTGTCTTTCTTACAGTAAGATGGATGGTTTTAATTTGTGAAAGCGTACCGAAAAAAGAAATTGATAGGGAATGTTAGAGAAATAAGAAATATTAACTGGTAAACTTCTCAGAAGTGCCATTTTAATATTCTGAAGATAAATTGAAAAATAACTTTAAAAGGAAATTACTCTAAAATGTTAAATTTTGGACAGTAGGTGTTTTCTTGTAATACCACTTCACAGAGACCCTTCTCCGTATGTGAATTTTTTAAAATAGAAAATAGTAATTTTATGAATTGTAGTAACTTTAAAATAATGGGATACTGGGGCGCCTGGGTGGCTTAGTCGGTTAAGCGTACGACTTTCGCTCAGGTCATGATCTCGCGGTTCGTGGGTTCGAGCCCCGCATCGGGCTCTGTGCTGACAGCCAGCTCAGAGCCTGGAGCCTATTTCAGAGTCTGTGTCTCCCTCTGTCTCTGACCGTTCCCTGCTCATGCTGTCTCTCTTTCTCTCTCCTAGAAATAAATAAAAATATTTAAAAAAAAATAAAATAATGGGATATTTAATAACACTAGTTGGCCCAATAATGAAAATGCTCCAGGTAAAAGAATAATCTACTGTAGTTTTTTTATTTTCCACCAAGTTGTATTTGGTACTTTTATGCATAAGTGCAGATATTATTAGTTCTCAGAAAGTCAGATATATCCATTTTTGAAAAGTTAATATAAACAAATATTTCAAAGTC